TTAGAAAATTATATTTTAAAAAGAAGTGGACCTGAATAGGGTCAAGTCTCAGAAAAGTCAGAAAACAGAAGAAAATAGTAAGTTACATTACAGAGATTTAATCCCCAAAACCCAGTCTATGGGAAACTTTACAGGCAAATGACTCAACTGAATAAAAATGAAAGGAAAGGTGAATCTGTACAGACCTTCAAGATAAAAACAAACAACTCAGTTATTGCATTTAAGGATGCACGTTTGGGAGTTAGAATCATAGAAAAGCGCGGGGACACAGTGACTATCAGTACCTGGCTGTCACTTTAGGAAAAGGAGAGGCACGGGACTGACTCGCCGGAGACGCTGGCAAAGGTCTGCTTCATACCTGCTAGTGACTGCTAAGGTATTTTATAATAATTTACTAAACCGTATTTTATGTGTTTTTTCCTAGTTTTGTTTACAGCCAAAAAAGGGAAAGTGGAAGTCATGAAGGTATTTGCAGTACACACACCCAACATGGGGTGTACAACCTTGGTAAGAGAAAAGACCTGCAATGCAAAAATAAAACAGCATCAACCTCACAGAGACCTGGGCTGGAGATGTGAAGGCGCATTTCCCAGAGAAAGGAAATCCAAATAGCTCAGAAGCAAGACAAGAGCTGAAAAGAAATGCAAATTGTAACCACAGTTAGACACTGCTATTTGCAGCAGAACTGAATGGGAGGGCTGGTGAGGATCCACAGGAACTCTGAAATTGCTGGCGGCAGTGAAAATTGAGACAAGGACTTTGGAAAACAGCTTGGAATTATCTGATCAATTTGAAGACACATACCCAGTGGTGGGCTGCTCGATGTTTACCAACCAGTCCTCTCCACTGGCCATTGCTGACGGAAGATGGGTGGGCCCGTGAGCCCAGGATGTCGTAAGCCAAGGATGCTGTGAGCCCAGGATGCAGGTGGCCTCCAGATGCTGGAAAAGGCATGAAAATTGATTGAACCAGCCCTAGACTCTTGAGAAAGGAACACAGCCCTGCCAACACCTTGATTTCAGCCCAGTGGCACCCATATGTTCAGATTTCTGACATTCCTAACTGTAAGAGACACACGAGTTGTTTTAAGCCACTAAGGTTTTGGTAATTTGTTACAGCAGCAAAAGGAAACTTGTACCAATGTGGAGTAAAGACAGAGCCCTGAAATTCCACAGGACAGCAGTACCAGGGGCAGGTAAACATGTGGACGCTAGAGACATTGTTCGCTGCCTGGGGAGGTGGGCAGTTACTCAGTATCTATATGCCCCAGTCTCCGCTCTTGTAACATACAATACTGTGACAACACGAGAAGAATGCTTTATATATAAAATGTCCTTAGTAGGTATAACCTTTATCATTCTTTTTTTTTTTTTTCTTTTTTTGGAGAGGTTTTTGCTATAGGGCGCCAGAAAGTCAGAGAGATACAGAGAGACAGAAAGTGAGAAATCATCCCCCAGGGGGGATGGCCACGCCGCAATCCCTTCTCCTCCATTCTCCTCTTGGGATCTTAGGCAGGCACGCACGCACACGCGCCCGGCATGAGTTCAAGCCTCCGGTCCGGGACTCAAACCGCAGTTGACTACGTGGGAGTCCAGCGACATAGCCAGTACGCCAACTGCTGGTCCCTAACCTTTATCATTCTTAATGATTCTTAAGGATGGTTGGGAGCAGTCAGATGAGTCCCTTAACCTGGACTGTATTGTTACTTGAAGAAAATCCCAAAAGAAGATGAAGACTCCCCCAGACTCTATAACCCAGTCCCCTTCCTCCATGGTCCATCATGGAGATCTACTGCTTTGTCATTCCTGGCTTGTCCTAAGTTGAAAGCAGGAACAAGAATAGGAAAACTGTTGGTTATTAATCCAATGCTGGCCATGTGAAGCCCATTGCATGGAGGGTTGGCTGGACTCTTGGCTGAAGATAGTGGTCTGACTTCCCATGAACCTGACTTGTAGGTAGTTGGCTGAATCCCTCCAGATAATGAATGGGTTTCCTGGCCAGGTTGCAGATTGTGAGTCACAGTCCTCTTGATAAATGGCCGGGGATATCCATCCTCTCAGATGCTGATCCCAGAAAGGAGAATAGATCAGGATCCCTTGTTTGCAGACACAAGCTGACACCACCACTATGAACGGCAAATATGGAATGTGAAACACATGCTTAATTCTTCCAAACTACCAGATAGGAACAAATTTCAACTGACATGCTAAAGGAAAGAGCAGACCTTGTCTTTATTTTCTCCTTAGAAAAATTTTATAAAGGAGCCAGCAAGTGGTAAGGACTCCCACGTGGCAAACCATGGTTTGACTTCCAGATGCTGCAGACTGGTGTGTGTGTGTGTGTGTGTGTGCCCAAAATCCTAAGAGGAGAATGGAGGAGAGGGTATCGTGGTGTGGCCATCCCACTTGGGGGATGATTTCTCACTTTCTCTCTGTCTCTCTCTTTCTCTCTCTGGCAAGCATCCGTGCCCCATGGCAAAAACCTAAAAAAAAAAAAAAATTATAAAGACTATTTGGGTAAAAAGGCATTAAGGAGTATACAACTGAAAAAATTAAGAGCCAGGGCTAGTAGATGACATGGTGGTTAAGGTGCTGGACTCCCACGTGGCCGACTGTGGTTCAAGTGCCAGATTTGGCAGCTTGCTTTCTCACTTTCCCTCTCTTGCTCTCTTTCTCTCTCTCTCCCCCTCTGGTGAGCATATGTGACCTATAGTAAATTTAAAATAATAATAATAATAAAAAAATTAAAATTAAACAAGTCGTTATTTTTTTAAAATTAAAAGCGAAGTTATGTACCTAATAACATAGACATAAATAACATATAATAATGTATACTATCTAATATACCACTTGTAAATATTAATACTAATGCTATGTTGCTTTTATGAATTTGCTGTTTATGTTAGCTTTAAAAAAAATGGTTTCTTTTATTCATGATAGAGAGCCTTTGTATATATGAGACAGAGTCACCCTCAAGAAGTCTGGTCACTTGGATGCCCTTGTCCCAGGCCTTCAGCTGCCCAGCGCCTGATGCATTCCCGGCTGGCAGCACCAGGTCAGCCATGTGGCTTTCAGCTCTGCAGTTCAGTAGGCTACTGACTGCCAAAAAGGCTAGGCCTTTCTAGCTTTTTAAACAAGTACCTTTAAAATGATATCTTCTAGCTTTAAATATTCACTTACATACCTAATTTTGATTTTGTAACTTTATATATTTTTTTCTTTATAGTTAGTCTATCCCCAAATTTTATGAGCCTTAAGTCTTAAAGAACCTGAATCTGCCCATAAGTGAATGACATGAAATATTGGCATATTTGCAAAAATGTGTGCTGTCCTTAACCTCCACTCTGTCTAGTCCAACTAAAACCCAGGAAGGAGACAGCCTCTCACCACGAATAGGCAGGGAACTGGTCAGCCAAGGCCGGCAAACTGGACGTTTCCAGCAGGGTGAGCAGTAGTTCCTCAGGAAGTCAAGCAGTGAGAATGCCTCTGAAGTCTGCTCCCAGAAAGTTGCTCTGATGTGAGATACCCATTTTGTTCACGTACTGGAGCTGGATCGTAAGGTTACCCTCTGCTGGATAGTGAAATGGGGAGTCTCCTCTCTGCAAACAACATAGCGGACTCAAAATTTTCACAAAGCTGAATGTAAGTGCCCGTCTGGATGCCAGAGCAGTTACACCCACTTCGCAACGTCAGGGGTGCGGCCAGTGTGGGCGCAGCAGGCCGAACCTGTGCTTGCTCTGTCTCCCTTCAGGACAGAGGTCCTGTCTCCTAGGGAATGGCTTCTCAGGAGCCAGGCCACGAAGCAGCGAGAAGAGCAAACGCTCTGCAAGTAACTGATTCGAGGCACTTCCCAGGGACCCAGCCGCCCCGGTCTCAGCAGTGACACGGCGTCGGCCTAGATGACTCTCCAAGTCCTGTCCCGCTCACAGATCCCTGCGGTGATCCATTTGGGACTGTCACGTGGAGGCACTGAGTTCTTCCGGGGCAATGACACCATCGGGAAGGCTCTTGAGATTCACGAGTGGAGGCAGACCATCTTCTTCCACGCGGGAGTGGGAAGGCAAATGGACTTCTCCGGGGCAAAACGCGCACGTCTATGGGCCACTGCTTAGGACCCTTATTTGCAAACTGCACAGCTGTGAAAGCTCCTGGGGTCGGCCAGGGCCAGAACTGCGCTGGCACGAGGGTGGGAACAGCACACTGAGGCGCTGGGCTTTTCCTCCGCTGCTTTTACAGCCTTTGGGTAAAGGCGACCCCGGAGGGAGGCCCGGCGGAGGCGGCACAGGCCGAGGCGGCCCGGGGTCCGGAGGTCGCGCTCCGAGGGCAGCCATCGGGGCAGGCAGCGGGGAGGCCCC